GTCAACTATTATATATAAACAGTTGTGTGGTGGGCAAGCATTTATCTCTATTGTCATTATAGTCTGTTTATTCTACCTGCTCATGTCAACAGAATCAATGTTGAGTGATACAATTCTGTATATTTATTTTTAAAAATAAATTATTGTCCCAATCCCAAACCCAAGGAAGTGATTTAAAAGACTCCAATTGACTCCAGTAGGCAGTGGGTAAGACCCCACATATGTCATCTTCAAGGTGTGAGGCCAGTACTGGAAGTTCTTATGCGTTGTGTAGTATAGTTTAGCTCAGTGATTACACAGAGATGGGTGCTCACTTGAGTATGAACTCAGGTAACTCTGAGTAAGAACCTCCAGATTGGCACTTAGGCATTTCTGTACACTGGGTAGTTTTTAGGCAATATCTCTAAAATAAAGGACCTCATTCTCCTCTCAGACCATTTTTTACTATCATGTGACTTCACTGACTTCGGTGGAGTTATTCCTAATTTATACTTGAGAAGAGAATCAGGCCCAAAGTGTGTAATGAAATTAATGAAAGGAACATCTCCTTCAGTCTTTTCTCAACCAAGGTTCCCTTTGAAGCTAATGGGAAGTTTTGCTGAGTGGGGCTGCAGGATTTGACCCAGTGTTTGTATTTTCCATACATATATTATCCAAATGCTAGACACTTTTGCTCTGTATTTCAGTTATAATTCTTTTGGACCTCAAACAATAAATTCTTTGCAGTGAGATAAAAACAAACATGGCATGCAGAGAAATACGGGCTGAACACAGGAAGGTAACATAGTGCACTCTGCTTGTGTGTTTTTTTGTTTTTACTTTATCTATCCTGATGAAGGGTGAGGTTGTGCCAAGTGGTGCTCGACAGACTGCGGAGTCTGAAACACAAATGCCATCAACAGCAGAAACCATCGATCCCTTGTTTTACCCTAGTTGGTATAAGGCCAAATCACGGCAAGCAAGCAGCCCAAGTTTGACCCAACTGAGTGATGGGTTGGGCCAAGTAGGGCCGTCCATTTCTCTGGAAATGAATGTAAAGAAGGCAGAAACTACAGAAGCAGCAACAAACAATGAGTGTGCACCTGGGAGTGGTAAGGAAACTAGCACAACTGCAGCTACTTCCCAGGTTAGTGTTAATGATATCTCAAAGTGTATTTGCATGCAGCCGGGGTCCAAATAGGATATAATATTGAAGGAAATTTTGTTTTAAAAAAAATGCAGAGGCAAACCATTATCTCAGAAATATGGAAACACAACTCAGTGTGATTTCAATAAAGTCCATGAATTAATACATTTGATTAAAAATGTATTGTGGGCCAGACTCTCAAACTTAGGAATCCACAGGGGTGTGCATATATTTGCTTGTGCCTAACTTATGTGCCAGTGCACCCAATATGTGGAAGCAAATACCTGAGGCGCTCATGCATGTGGTCAGTTAGATGTCAGACACATGTCTAATTGGCCATGTCTGCACACATCAGGTATTTACACATTAGTGGCAAACAAATCCACACAGTTACCTTTATGCAGTGTTGAAAATCTGAATCTATATGTCACATGCAATTTACAACCATTGCATAGGCAGCTGTTGCTTGAGACTTACCTACTGTAGTTTTACTGCCGTATCTGTCACACATCTGGAATGTACGGTTGCTCTTGGTTAGCCTTTTCTGTATGCACACTGGGCTATGCAAGTGTCAGGGTTCTTTTGTTTGTCTGACGGCAATTCTAAAAGCATGGTGTGATTTAAGTTAATTTTGCATTGTAAATAACTGTTCCAAAAGTTTTCTTTCAAGAGTGTTTTCAATATGATCAAAGATCAGTATGAGCATCAGAAATGCTAGCCCTGTATTAGACTATCACTATTATGACATCGGTATTGATGGAATAATGGGATGTCATGTGTTTTTTATTTTTCTTCTTAAAAGGACACTGTCAGAGTTTGGCAGACCCCAAATTTGACTTTTTCCTCTCTGTTTGTTTGAAAAGTCCATGTAATTCTTAATGGGCCAAAGATTCATGGAGTGGAGCTGAGGAACATGTGAAAAATGTGCACAACACACATGCGCCTGCATTTGTGTGTGTAAATTGGTTAAGGCCTAAATTTAAAAAGTATCCACTAATTTGGAATGGCTCCATTTCTGGGTGCCAAACTCAAGAGATGTAGGTTTTTGAAGATGTAGACCTCCTGTTTTTGAAAATTACTTGTGTGCATGCTTGTGTGTGCTGTGTACGTGTGTGCCTGAGCATGTATGTAGCAAATACTTCAATGCTATGTTTTTTCTTAAAATAAAAAATAAAATAAAAAAATCAGTGTCAGCAGTTTGGCACTCATGAGCAACCCTACAACAATAAACCAGTGTGTGGCGGGGGGGAAAGATAAAGAAACAAGAGTAAATTCAGATATGGCATATGAGGACAAAGCTCTAATGACTGAGGGCCCTCTCCAAAAACCACTGAATTCAGTGGAAACATTTTCATTGATGTCAGTCATAATGAAGGCTAAAATTGGCCTACAGTTTTCAGTGTTAATCCTTCCAGGCCGGGACTTTATTTATGAACAAGAGTAGAGTAAAAATATTTTTTAAAATTATAAAACCTACCATGACAATGTCGTCTTAAGTGTGTTCTAGACAAGATGTCAAAAGCAGGTACTATTCAAAATGAAACTTCTTGTTGCTGTTGTTTCAACAGAACTGTTACAAAGAATTAGGGCCGCATCCTGCACGCCACACTCAGGTAAAATGCCCATTTACTTATCTTAGTGGGAGATTTGCCTGTGTAAGGACTGTAGTTTCCGGCCCTTATTATCAGGAGCAGTAAAATAGCAGAAATAAATGTTTGATGTGACTTTTACTTTTTGGAAACCCTACTGCAGTGGCTTTCAAGCAAACCAAGGAAGCAAACTGAAGCAATTAGGGAAAGTAGAAATACAAGAGTAAACAAGGGGGAAAGAATATTTTTTTAGAGTTGGGACAATTCCCGATGGTTGCGAATCATTGTGCACTGGTTACCATGCTTCAATATTTGTTGGAAATAAGTATGATGTGTATGTACACTGTTGGAGGGATAGCAGGTGAGCAAATAATGGGGGTGTGGTTCTGGGGCCGGGAGGAATTATGGGTGAGATTCACAAAGGAAGGTGGGTAGTCATGGTTTTGTAGGTCAGAAGGATTGGTGGGAATGTGTTTTTAGTGGAAGAGTGGTGAAGCAGTGCTTGGACAAGGAGAAATGGCAAGGTCATATGTAAAATGGCCTCTGCCATGTGGCAGTGATCATGTTAAGTAGGCAAACTTTAGTTTGTTTCCTGCCTATGATTTTAACAAAGACCAATCTGGCATAGTTTCTAGAGTCACTGATAAACCAAATAGAGACTGGGTATATTCATCATGTCCCTGTTTTCACCAATCTCTTAAGTTAAATAATGACATGTAAAAGAATAACTGAAAAAAGTGTTCTGAAAACTGAATCTCTTCACCAAACCCGGTGTTGACCAGCCCAGTTTACTATGACAACATTAGTGAAGCGTTCTTCTTATTTCCTCACAGGAGTTAGCATTCTGCATATCAGTTTTGGCTTTTCTTATCATACTGCATCATCTCTGGAGTCAGATTCAATACATGATTTTTACTTTAATGGGTAGGAAATGTTTTGTTTTACCATTAACTAACAGCACAAGTAGTTTCTCTGGTAATGTTTCTAGGTGGTTTATAAAGGATTTTTTCTCTTTCTGCCGTCTAAAAAGAACCATGCTAGCTTATAATACCTGCTGCCTAAAGCTTTTTCTCCTCACACTCCCAAAATGCCATCCTAGAGTTTAATCCCGCATGGTTAAAAATTAAATATCCCTGATTAAAAAATGAGGGAAACCCTGCATCAAATTCATGGGCTCATATTTCAGTTGTTGTTAGGCATTTCAGTAGCTATTTGAAACTATAAATCAATAATAACAACAAACTACCACTACTTTTGTGATCTTTATATAACATAGTCATGCAAACTTACCCAATGAGTAGTGAGCTTTGTTACAGTCTTAAAGTTATCACTTTGTATGAGAAAGGGGTTTCTTTAGGAGCTACAATGCAGATGAAAGACTCTACATATAGATTTAAAATTCTGCTCCTTACCTCTCATGACAGCAAACTATTTATTATGTGAAAGAAACAATTGTCATTCGTAAGGTCATAGACCATTTTGTCATAGATCTTTCTCACTTTGTCCTAGGAGTTTGGGGGGTTATTTTGGTTTTGGTTTAGTTTTTGAGGTCCCTGAGGCTGAATACTTTTGGGTCAGTTTCCCCCCTCTGTGCATGCGTGTAACTCCTGTTGTCACCAATGATAAGAACACTATTGGTGAGAACAGATTCATAATAAAATATCAAGTCGTACATTTTACAGCACTGGGCACTGGCCTGTTCTGGAAAAGGTACTAAGTCTTTGGACTGAATAGTTTTTTGACTAGTGTCATTTCTCACAGTAGTTAAGGAAGAAAAATGATCTTCCTTTAGAATAACATATGAGCCAGATTCAGCCCTGCCAACACAGTAAGTGTAATGTGTACCCTCTGCAGTGGACTGGGCCATTATTCCCCTGGGGGATTCCACCCCAACATCTCTCTGGGTTTTCAGTGTGGGAGGGCAACAGGAATTCATTGAAACTGCTCATTCCCTTGCTATGGGGGCTATGTCCCCTTCCCTGCCAACACTGTCTGTTTCTGGGGTATTCTGCCTGCCTGCCTGCAGGTCCACTTAGATCTTCAGCAGACGGAATGTTGCAGCTACTTTTCTCCTTTGTTGCCTCCCTCCCAGTCAACATTTTGCTTCTGTTGTTCTGTGCCTGAGTTTATGCCAGGAGAAGCTGGGGTAGACCTGGGAATTAATCTGGTTCTGAAAATAACACAGAGCAAAATCATTCCTACCTGAGGCTGAAATATTTCTATCCTGTTTGGCTGAGGGCCTTCTTTTGATGGGATTTTAATAGAACCTGAAAATTTCCAGAGAGCTCTAGTGAACGACTGGATATACTGGTTTGCTGACAGACCACAGTATCAAACGTCAGGTGGAATTTTGCAATACATGCTGTTTGCAACCACTATTGCAGTAACCCCAAATGCCTTCTTGCCTGGCCTTCACTCTGGGGGCACCATGGCTTACATATGATTTGCAACAAATAAAGCAAAATAGAAGGTGACTAGAACATTGGTGGTGGAAGTCTTGGCAGAGCTTGAGCAACTGAAATTTTTGAAGCCTTATCCTCTTATCTGCTGTTAAAGGTACAGAAAGTGTTCTGTGCCTCCATCACAGGCTCTGTGAAACTTGAACAGCAGACCTTTTGTGGCTTACCTCCGTCCAGCAATCTGAGCTGAGCAATCAGCTATTGAGATTTCAGAGCAATACACTCAGGGGTCAACCACAGCATCTTCTAGGTTTCAGTTTCAGCCAGTATATCTTGATGCAGTGCTGAATTGTGTTGGGCCACATCACATATCTGGTTCATGTCTGTTTTGTCTGGTTCAGACCAGCAAGGAAACATTGGGCCCTCTGTGAGAGTAAATTGCCAGGTGTGCTCAACAGGGCACTGATTAAATCCTGTTCAATAAACTGTCATTCAGCACTGATAATCTTGCGAGCTATTGACAAAGATTTAATCTCCCATATTTAGGAGTGATTACTGAGAAGATTACAACAAAGCAACTCTGATAATATCTAGATAATATCCTTGACTCTAGTTAGCTTAATTTCAGACCTGGATATGGAAAACGAACAGATTTAGTAGCACTGTTGATGATCTCCTCCTAGAGCTGAATAAGCCACGTGGCCCAGGTGATATTAAATCTAGCAGCCACCTTTGATACCATTTAGCCATAAGGTATTGTTGATACAACTTCTACATCAGACTGGAATGAATGGATTAGCCCTTGAGTTGCTAATCCTTTACTCCTTCGTGAATAAATGATTACAGTGGGTGATGTTGGGTAGTTTTTTCTTCTACTCCACATGCCCTTTTATACAGAGTACTGAAAGGGTCTATCTCATCCCTGCCACTATGTCCTCCTCAAATTATTGATAAATATATTGTATAATTCCAAAGGAGTTAATGTAACTCATTGACTTTGTCCAGACTCTCATCAACTTAATCTATCCTTTCTGGTTTCTATCCATCGGGTTTTTGCCATATTCCATTGATATTTAATCATTTCACAATGTCTCTTCTCAAGCCCAGCTACCTTTATTTCTAATAACTGAATCTCCTACAGCACTCCCTAACTCTCATTGCTACTTACCACAACCCTTCCGGCATCTGGAAGGATTTTCTTGATGCGTAAGTAATGGCCATCCTCCTGTGTATCTGCTGGAAGAAAGGGATCGCCTCCAAGACCGGAAACTTTTTTACTAATTCCTAAGGACAGTTTGCCACAATCTGGACTACTGCACCTGAGAAAGAGACATGCATCTTTGAATAGACATACCCTATTAAAATAGACTGAAAGTGGTAAATTACACAACTTCCTGTAGGCCACAAATGATATCTGGATTGATTTATTTGTATTATAATTCGTTTAGAATAATTTCTGTATTTCAGTTGCAATGGTCACCAACATAGTGTGGTCCAAAGAGCAGCAATCCGATCTCCCATATGAAAAATAAAGAATAGATGCATAAATAACCAAAAGCAGCAAAGAGTCCTGTGGCACCTTATAGACTAACAGAGCATGAGCATGAGCTTTGATGGGTGAATACCCACTTCGTCGGATGCATTCGACGAAGTGGGTATTCACCCACGAAAGCTCATGCTCCAATACGTCTGTTAGTCTATAAGGTGCCACAGGACTCTTTGCTGCTTTTACAGATCCAGACTAACACGGCTACCCCTCTGATACATAAATAACCAAGTAATTACATATGGATGATAAAATAGTTTTTATGCAAATGACCTTAGAGACCAACATGTCCCTATCCTTTACCCACTTCTTACGGCATGATTAAATAAATAGTCAAGGAGCCACGAGAGACCATGTGCCCTGAGACCCCAAATGCTGGAAATGCTGATAGCTTTCTGGGTTTAATTATTTTTAATTTCAAAAGGTATTTTGAAGAAAATAAACCATAAGAAAAAGAGCATAATGTTATTCTCATGCTTAATTTCCCATGAGCACAAATACGCTTTATGTATTATTGTAATAGTATATTTAAATTTCAAAAACAAACAGAAATAAATGAAAATTAAACTGTGTTCTGTACATTTAATTGAGAGACTCATAGTGTCAGATTCTATTCAAATTACTACCACACCAGTGCATCTTTTAGCATAAATTATACAGATAAAGTACAAATAACAGCCTGTTTTGTGTATCAATATCTGCACTTCTCTCACAGTGCTGGAATTTCAGAATGCAAAAACCAAGTGATAATGCTCATGTTTGTCATACATGCACAATAAAACATTTTACCGTGCTTATTAATGCAGTAAAGATCATGTGTTCTTTAAACAGTTAAAAAGCTGGCATCTTTGTATTTTTAAATGATACACCAAAGTAGATTTTTCTGTTTTGTCAGTATATCATACAGGCAAAGATGGGTATTGCTGTGTTGTGTTTACGGTCTTGGGTCCTTAATAAATAAGGTTTACTAGTCAGATCATAAAATGCAGGTCTCCATACTTTAGCCATCCCATTCTTGAGTTTGAATAAAAACTGAGGGCTTGTCTATATAGGGAAGCAATTCTGAAGTAAGATAAAGT